ATGATCCTCCTGCCTCAGCCTCCTGAGATGATGGGATTACAGGCATGTACTACTGTGTGTGGCTAAACAAGATTTTTTAAAGGTTCAAAATTGTGATTGGTGCTAATATGTTTGTTGGTAACCGAAAGAATGAAGACTAAGGGAGAAAAATATGTAAAGACTTAGAATATCTAAAAAATACAATCTAAACTCATTTGACATTGATAGAAAACTTTTGGTAATTTCTCAACACATTTTTTTAAGAGCAAGTAGACCATTCACTAAACAAGTCTCAATATAATAAAGATGAATTACATATATTTTCTCTGCAAAAATGGAACTAAATTGGTGTTAGCTTTTTGTTGCTGTGACCAAAAGACCTGACATGAACTTAGAGGAGGAAAAGTTTATTTTGGCTCATGGTTCCAGAGGATTCAGTCCATGGTTAGCTGATTCTCAGGCAGAAGGATGTAGTAGAGGAAGGCTGCTCAGCTCATGGTAGCTAGGAAGCAAGAAGGAGCCAGGCGAAAATACACTCTTCCAGGGTGCACACTAGTGTCCTTACATCCTCCAGATAAGTCCCCACCTCCATAGTCTATTTGGCCATCAATAGATTAACCCACTGATGAGGTCTGAGCCCTTATGATCCAGTCACTTCCCACCACCTGTAGACATTGCTGCAGCGGGGATGATGTTTTCAACACATGAACCTTTGAGGGGCATTCCAGATCAAAGCCATAACAATTAGTCGTTTTTTTGTTTTTTTTAAAGAAGATTATCTAGAAGCAAGTCCCAAAGTTTAGAAGTTAAACAATATACTTGTAACTAACCAACAGAATCAAAGAATGACCAAAATGAAATTTTAATAATGTTCTGAACAAACTAAAAATAGATCAAAATTTGCAGATGAAGTTAAAACAGGCTCAGAAACTTTTATGTTTAAATGCTTATACTAGAAAATAAGAATCCTCTAAAATTAATAATTTAGACTTCTATTTTAAGAGGCTTGAAAAATGTAAATTCAAAGCAAGAATAAGGAAATATACAAGATAAAAGCAAAAATCACTGAAATGGAAAACAAACAATAGGGAAGAAAACAATGAAACTTGAAGCCAAATCCTTTAAAACCCCAAATACATGTAAATTAAATACTTCTAAACAATCAATGTGTCAAAAAAAAATGACAAAGGATGTGAGAAAATATACAGTATACACACACACACACACACACATTTAGTTGTAGATGGACACAATACCTTTATTTTATTTATCTTTACGTAGGGCTGGGGATTGAACCCAGGGCCTCACATGTACTAGGCAAGCACTCCACCACTGAGCTACAACCCCAGCCCAAGAGAAAATACTTTCAACATTTGAATGAAAATAAAAATGCAGGGCTGGGGCTGTAGATCGCTTGCCTGGCATTCGTGAGGCCCTGGGTTCGATCTTCAGCACCACATAAAAATAAATTTTTTAAAAAAATGTGCAAAGGAAGAAAATGTTTAAAAGAAGAAAAGAAAAATGCAATGTATTGAAATTTGTTGGCGGCCAATAAGGGATAGTATTTACAGGGAAACTTACAGCATTAAAACCGTCTACTAGATAAAAAGGAATACCTTAAGTCAGTAAGCATGCACATGTATAATACTAGGAAAAGAAGAACTAATTAAAATCAAATTAATGAAACAAACAGAAAAAAAGAAACAGAAAACACTGGAGGACTTGAATAAAAACCAAAGCAAGTACTCTGAAAAAGTCAATAAAACTGACAAATCTCTGGCCAATGATTGAGGGGAAAAGAGAGACACAAATTACCAGAAGAAAAATGAAAGAACCACTGTGACAGATTTTTCAAATACCAAAAGAATAAAAGACTATAACTGGAAAACTTTATGCCAGTAAAGTTTATAACTTATATAAAATGGACAAATTTCTAGAGAAACACAAAACTACAAAAGCTCAGTGAATTAAAAAAAAAGTGATAACCTCAATAGCCTTAATTCTATTACAGAACTAAACTAGTAGTTTAACATATTCTCATAAGGAAATAGAAATCTCCAGAGTCAGATGGCTTCACTGGTGAATTCTAACATTTGAGAAAGATTATTTTAGAAAATAAGAAAATACTTCCCAACCCATTTTATGAGGCAGGATTAACCTGGTATTAAACAGAAACTATAGACCAAATCCTGAATGAACCACAGATAAAACAACCCCCCCCTCAAAAAGCTACTTTAACAATGAATTAGCAAATTCATCAAGCAATATATGCAAAAGTATTATATTATAATCAAGTATAGTTTATCCTCGCACAACTAAGTTTACATCTCAAAATCAATGAATAGCCAGGCATGGTGGCACATGCTTATAATCCCAGCTACTTGGGAAGCTGAGGCAGGAGGTTCACAAGCTTGAGCCCAGTCTCAGCAATTTAGTGAGACCCTGCCTAAAAAGAAAAAATATAAAGGGCTGGGGATATAGCTCAATGGGGATGTGGTTCAGCAGTAGTGTGCCCCCAGGTTCATTGCCTAATACCGCCAAAAAAAAAAAAAATCATTGAATGTTATAGAAATATAGGTATAGAAAAAAAAACAACAGATGTAAGAAACTTGAACAAAATTCAGCACCATTCATGATTAAAAAAAAAAATCAGCTAACTTCTTCAATCAAATTGTAAAAGAAAATGAAAAACTAATAAGGGAGAAGCTCATACAGCACTTGCCTATCATGCAGAAGGCCCCGGGATTCAATTCCCAGCACTACAAAAAGAAACAAACACAAAAATAAAAACAAATGTGTATGCATGTGCCCCCCCAACACCAATTTAAAAAAAATAAAAAACCCTATAGAATTACTATCACTACTTAAAGTAGTGCCTGAATAAAGACTGAATACTTTTCACATATGTCAGACACAAGGCAAAAATGTCTGTTCTTGGGCTGGGGTTGTAGCCCAGTGGTAGAGTGCTTGCCTAGTACTTGTGAGGTACTTGGTTTGATCCACAGCACCACATAAAAAAAATAAAATGAATAAAACAAAGGCATTGTGTTCATCTATGACTAAAATTATTTTTTAAAAAGTTTGTTCTTCCAACTTCTATTCAACATTGTACTGAAAGTTCTAGACAACATAATAAGGCAAGAAAGAAATTTAAAAATTACTAGAATAAGTGGATTTAGAACAGTTGCAGGTCAATATACCCACCCCACAAATTAACAGCATTTCATATACTAGCAATAATAAAATAGAAAGTTGAAATAAAAACGAATATCACTGATACTAACACTTAAAAAAAGAAATATCTAAGGAGTAATATAAAAAATTTGCAAGACTGATACACTGAAAACAACAAATAATTACTGAGATAATTTTTTCCCTTTTCTTTCCTTCCTTCCTTTTTTTGTGCCAGGGATGGAATCCAGGGCCTTGTGCATTCATGTTAGGCAACTGTTCTACCACTGAGCCATATTCCCTGCTACTCAAGAGAATTTAAAGATGATCTAAATAGAAAGAGATGTGTATCATATAAATGAATTAGAAAACTGTATTATCATTAATGATTATTTGTTCTTGAATTTAAACTATTGAACATTTTAATATTTTCCTCTCTCTAAATGTGTTAAGCATAAAATGGGAAGTTATTGGTACGAGTTTGCCTATTTATTGCCTGTTCTGGAAATAGTGGTGACAGTTATACAACAGTGCTAATATACTGAAAGGGACCAAATTACCCACTTAAAAATAATTAAAATGTTAATTTTATGTTTTATATATTTTACAACACTAAGAAGTTAAATGAAAAAGCACAATAAATAAAAAGATGTGCAAGCAAGCACTATGGGGGGCACTTGGGGAACTGAAAAAGCAATAAAGATGTTAAATGGGAAATGAGAGAGACACCCAAATAAAAATGGTATCATTGAGGAAGGAGGGAACTGTGGTATAAGGAACAGGATTTGCCATGAAATGGATTTTCAGTAGGAGACATTTAAATCATATCAGCTATATTAGCAGGTGGGTAGAGGCTGGGGCCATAAGCAGTTTGAAAAAACATAAATGACAGGATGGGCAGGGAAGATACTAAGATAACTCAAACACGTGCATGAAGTATCTGTGGAACATGTAGGTGTTGTGTAGTTGGATGATGGATATAAAGTTTGGATTCTCAGGATAGAAGTGTAAAACTTATTTAGGCTTCATTAAAATAATATGGTTCATTATGAATTGGGAACAATAAATGAAAGAGAAATAAATTAACATATAATCTGGAGAATATCAGATTTTAAGAAAGGTCAAGACATAAAGCAAATTCTCTGAATGAAACAGGAAAGATTAGTGTCTTTGAAACCAAAAGCAGAATAGTTTAAGAGTTATACATCTAGTTCAGTTGATGGTCTATGCATTTACACTTATTTCTTTCTATATTCAAATACAAAATTAGAAGAAATTTTAAAATAGGAATAAATCTATAACATCAGTATTCTAGAAATCATGTTATTAGAAGGCCATAGGTTTTTCCTTCTGTATTAAAGGATTTACAAGATAAACAAGATTCTCAGTTCTTTGTACAAGTTGCCAATCATCTCTATCCTCAAAGCCTCAGGACATGACTTCTTGCCACTTACTGATACCACTCTATCAATTTTAAATCCATCTTTACTCAGATCTGTGAATGTGACAAAGGTTTTATCTTCTTTTTAAAATCTACATAAGGGGCTGGGGCTTTAGCTCAGTGGTAGAGTGCTTTCTTCACACAAGTAAGGTACTGGGTTCGATCCTCATCACCACATAAAAATAAATACATAAAGATATTGTGTTCATCTACAACTAAAAAAAATTAAAATCTATATTCTCATTAATTCAAGGAAATGCACTTCTGTCCCTGTATATCTTCTGGGAGAAGACTGAGAAAGGAGGAAATGGGGACCAGTTTTCTAAGAGAGAAGACTGGTGGGACAATTTAGGACAAGAAATATCTTTGTAACAATAACAGAAGTTTCAGAAAGGAACCATCACCTCACCTGAGCCATGATTTTGAGATCTGCAAGAGAAGACCAGTCTTTCCTTTGCACTCCTCTTTAGAAAACGGACAATTTCTAAAACAGCAAAGCTAAGACAGAGGAAAAAAAAAAGCCACATGAGACTACACATGCCTAACAGTTCTCTATACTTACAAATCAATTAAAACTATTTCCATTTTTGGGCCCTTGTCCACTCTGCACATCCAACATAAATATAAGGAAGAGAATGGTAACTTAGAAATCTTTCTGCCTCAGTCTCAGAGGATATTCCAAAGATGGTGAGTGAAACAAAATTCTGAGTCCTTCATTCTAAAATAGGATTTTCTAAAGCTGCTGACGATAAGGTTTGATACCATTAATTTAACTTGTACCTCAAGAGTCTGGAGAAGCTTAGAGGAATGTGTCTTTAAGAGATTAAATTATGGGCTGGGGATATGGCTCAAGTAGTAGTGCGCTCGCCTGGCATGCGTGAGGCACTGGGTTCGATCCTCAGCACCACTTAAAAATAAAATAAAGATATTGTGTCTCTTTTTTTAATATTTATTTTTTTAATATTTAAAAATAAATATTAAAAAAAGAGATTAAATTATTTTTAGAATACTTTTCTAAGGGGAAAAATGTGGGTGCTTCCTCTTCATAACAAACAAGGGTCTCCCACATTCTGATGCCATTAGAAACCAAAGTGGTGAGAGAATTCTTGGCAAAATGTGCATGTTTCCAGGATTTGTAAGGGCAAATAACTGAGATGGATAATTCTCAACTTAGCACTTGATGAGGACTATACGGATGGAGGCTGCCTGGGTTGTCCTGGATCCTATGCAAGAGGATTAACTAGACAAACAGGATCCACCAGAGCAGGTGGGCCATTGCATGTCCAAAGGAAGCACCAAGGGAGCAGCTGGAGAAGAGGCTGTGCCCATGAGAGACAACTGTATCTGGAGGTTTTCAGAAACAGGTTCTCTCAAAAGATAAAAGATGACTTACGCTAAATTATAGTAGTATCAGTCATGTTGGCTTCATCTTGTCTCTGACTTTTTTCTTTCCCAGGTCCCAATCCATTGGAGCTGGAGTCTATTCACCTACAGGGAATAAAGCAGAGACAAAATAGAGGTTCGGGAATTAGAGAATAAAACCTGATCTTGAACCCTTTCACACTGCACACCACTTCCATCAAGTGGAAGAAAGTTTTTGCTTTTGAAACAAATTTGAAGTATGATTTTTAGTTCATTTAGCTAAGTGACTATTGTGAGATTGATCTTGTGTGTAGATGTTTGACAGATTTTATTTTTTATTAAGAATATCTAAAGTAATTATTGAACCTTCCAGGAATTCATAGGAAAGGAAAACAAAATTCAGCCAAATAGAAATTTTGAGAGTGACAGTTATGGGAGAAAAGTTTTTCATTCTCTTTTGTTTTTTTTAAAGAGTGTATTTCCAATGATAGAACACCATTTGTCACCTGTCAGTAGGGGGTTTCCTAATATACTATCCTATCTGAAACTTATTTTATCTCCTCTCCATTTAAAAAAATCTCTACTTATTTTACTTGTCTAATTGCCAGTGTTAAAAAAAAAAAAAAAAAGCAAAACAGCCAGTATTCGGAGAATCTAAACAATGCATAAGTAGTCAGTACCCGGTTTCTCAAGCACTCCATCTTAGTCACACAATAAGCCACATTCATAGTCACTGTGGGTTCTGTACACAAAATACTTCAGAAATTAGACATATTACCCACTGCACACTCATCATCTCCTAGGCCTCCCCCTGTCACGTGCGGTCTTGGAGCCATAACATACTTCTATACAAAGTAACAAAATTTCGCTCACAATCCCTTCACTGTCTTCTCTGCAAAGTAACAGTTTGAAACACAATCGACTCGCACCTAATTTAAAACTTAGACACGCAGAGACCCTATCACTTTCATAAATAATCGGTTGCATATCACGCATTGTAACACACCCTCCTCGTCCCTTGCCCACAAGAATAGGCACCAAAAAAACACAAACTGAATGCCAGTTGTGTGCCAAGCTGCGTTCCAGGCGTTGGGACTTCCTAGTGGAGAGGGGAGGAATTAAAAAAAAAAAAAAAAAAAAAAAAAGGCAGAAATCTGCCCCCGCAGAGCTCACACCAGCCTCGGGGTAATGGTTCCCCTCCTGTCTTCTCTGGGGCCTGGACTCTCTCTTTCCTCCTCGGTCTCCTCAGTCCAGGTCCCTTTTCCCTCCTTCCTCTCCCCACCCGAGCTCCCACCTTCCTTCTCGGCCCGCCGAACGGTCCCCATCATCACCCGCCCCCTCGGCACCCAGAGGACCCAAGAGCCTCACCTTCGGCCACTGGCCAAGAGTCTGCGCCTGCGTATTGCTAGGCGCTGTTTCCCTGCGGTCTCGGCAGCGCATTCCTCTGGGCCTCAGACTAAGCGCGCCTTGTCGACATCCGGGCTTTTCCAGTCTTGAACTACATTTCCCACAGACCTTCGGGGCCGCTTTCAAACTTTAATCGCAGGCTCCTCTTCGGAGTCTAATAGTTGCCTGGCACAGAGTGGTGACCTGGTCTAGGTGAAGGAGACTCTCGGGTTGAGGAAGCCAGGAGCTCCCTGGGTGCAAAGAGATATGCGCCTGGAGTTAATGCCTGTGTACCAGGGTGTGTGTGTGTGTGCGTTTCCGAAAGGAGGGTAGTGGAATGAGGGGTTGACCGGTGCGTGATTGTGCTCTTGTCTATCTGCTCAGACGAGGGACCTTTTGGGTGACTGTTTTTAGCTATAATGTGGGGTGTGTGACACTGGGACTTAAGACCATCCATCATATGACAGAGCTGCTGTGACCTACTGTGATAGTGACTGACAACTTCTTTTCTGCAGTTCTAGGTTTAATTTTTGGACAAAGGAATTTGTTGAAGGAAGATGTCCGAGTTGATGTGTGTGCCAGTGAAGACTACAGCCATTCATAGGTCGAACAGAGTAGTTTTGCAATGTATGCATGACTTGATGCCTCTTCACCAGGTCACCCCTGCTTCTAGAGCTCATCCTGGTGTTTAACACACAGAGAAAAATCAGTGAATGCCTGCCTAGTAACCGGTTTTAGATTTTTCTTGGGATCAGTATCTCTTGAATTCCCTGCTGCTTCTTTCCCCTCCAGCTTTGTAGCGATGTGGACTCCAGCTGCAGAGATATGGTCATCAAAATAGGAGTCAGATATTTGAGTGGTAGAATACAGGTTGCAAACACAAATCTCTTTTTGGAATGAAACTTTTAAGGTTGGAAGTGTATCTTAGGCAGAGTTTTATCAAGACATGATGAAGAGAGCCTAGGAATAGGATTGCTTCCTCTGAGGATCTCCCTTGTTCTACTGAGGACAAGTTTCATGTTTTAGAACCACACCATTCCAGGAGCTCTCTCCCCAGGAAACTGGTGTAAATTTAGAGAATGTTTCCAGTTCAGGATACCAGTGGCATTGGCCTTTCCTTTGGATACTAAGAGGTGTTTGCAGTACTCCAGCATCTCTCTTTCATCTGCATGTGTGTAGAAGACAATGGGAGTTTGTGTAATGGTGAAGAATCTCTTCAAATATAGCTAGTCTGGGCGCTCCTTACCATTCCTTTGCCTTTCCCCTCTTCCCTTGAAGTTCTCTAAGAGCTCCGAAGAAAGAGAAACATTACCAAAGATATCTGGTAGAAGTGACACTATGAGACTTCAGAAACAATGCCTCAGGAGGTCTTGCAGCTTTTGCCCTTGTCTTCTTCCTGCCCTGAGTCCCACTACTGTGAGGCCAAGAACAGCTTGAAAATAAATGATCATTTGCAAAGTGAGGTCCATTTGACAGCAACAACTGCCCAATATCCCAGGGAGACCATCTAACCTCCTCCAAGCCAACGACTGCTATCACATGAGTAAGATCAGCAGAACCACTAAGGTATGCCATGCCCAAACTGCCAAACCCCAGAATAATGAGATCATTGTTTTAAACCACAATCTTCAGATGTGGTTACATAGCAATAGAAAATGGAAACAGGTGTTTAACTTTCCAGGCTTTTTTCTCTTACTTACATTGATAGAATTGTATTATTCAACCTGTTTTGTAAAGTGATTTCTCTACTGATGTTATATCTTGAAAATATTCCATATCTTTAACTATTTTCCAGAATTTCACATTTTAGTATTTTACGACATGGAGATCTGGTAATTTATTTAACCAATAGCTTTCCTGAGAAACTTCTTGCTGACTCTCAAGTCTTGCCCATCTTTACATTCCCTTCCAGGTCCTTATGGGCAATGGGCACCTGTCATTTGAGGAGGATGCAGACTCAGGAATGTGGTATAGATTTCTTCTAGGTGAAATATGAGTCACTCATTCGTAGGAATTTGTTCAAGGTATGATTACAGGACCTATATATATTTATTTTACTTTCGCTGGGTCTCCTTGATTGCAGTGTCTCTTTTCCCCCTTTCTAATTCAAATTCTGTATTACTTTCTTCACTGTGACTCGTTAAGGAAACTTAAAAGTGCATAGCTAATTTTCTGATGGATTAATTTAAGATTCCTAGAACTGGAATTTCTAAAGTGTTATTTCTAAGGTGTCATCATTGCCATCTATTAGAATATTTTCTCAACTCCTTTCTGCCTGATGATTAAGGGAATGGTATCAGTTTTCGAATAGCCATATCAGGCCTAAATTCCATTTGTTCTCCTTAGTAGTACTAACAATAAGGTTTCTCTAAGGCTTATCATTACTTCATTAATTATCTATTTTCAAGCCATCTATTTTCCTTGTTGGTGCAAGACTGGTGGAGAGGTTGGTTAATAGGATAAATGAAAGCAACTCATAAAAGGAATCCACTGTGTATAAAATGTTAGGTTTCTAGATTTAGGATCATTAAGATAGTATTTGATTTGTTACTCCAAAATGTCTCTGAAGAAAGTTTGGGCCTATAGCAGCAGAATTCAAACTGCTTCAATACTATACTCCATGTTTCATACACATATCTCCTTTTATTGCTTTTCCTGCTTTCAAGGAGCAGCAACATTTCTCATTGTAAAATGAGGAAATTTAGAGAGTGCAGAAAAGCTTAAAATAAAGTTCACCTGGAAACAGTTTCTTTGAAGATTTTTTTTTGTGTGTGTGTGAAATTACTTACCTGTTTCTCTGTGATGAGCACCTGGAGGTAGGCATATAGGATTTTTTTTTTTGGTCACAACAGTGTACTTTAAGCATTTGCAACTTTCCCGTTTTCTGTTTGTTTTTGTGGTGCTGGGGATTGAATCCATGGTCTTATGCATGCCAGGCAAACACTTACCAACTAAGCTATATCCCCTGCCCAACATTCCCATTTTTAATAAGAGTTTTGTATAACAGAGAGCACAAATCTTAAAATCATAGCTTGATGATTTTTTTAAAGAATTTGACCTTTATTTTATTTATTATTTATTTTTTATGTGGTGCTGAGAATCAAAACAGTGCCTCACAGGTGCCAGGCAAGTGCTCTACCACTGAGTTACAACCCCAACCTCTGCTTGATGTTTTTATTAAAAAAAATAAACCTATTCAATCAATATTAGATAAAGACATAGAAATAAAGGGTCCTTCCTGACTCTTACCAATCAATACACCTCAAAGTTAACTATTTCTTTGACCTCCATCAAAATAGTTTAGTTTTGTTTGGTTTTGGACTCCATATGAACAGGGCACTTAGGTTGTTTCCACTTTGAGGCTTTTATGAGTAAAACCATAGTCATTCTAATGGGTATGAAGTGCTACCCTGTAGATTTATTTTGCCTTTCCTTTATAACTAATGAGGCCCTAAACATCAATTTGAATGGATTAAAAAAATTGCAGTTTGAGTCCAAAGGCAGTCTGTTGACACAATTTTTCTTGCCCAGGAGAGGTTAGTCTTTGTTTTATTAAGGACTTCAATTGACTGAATGAGGCCTACCTACAATATGGAAGGTAATCTGCATTATACAATGTCCATCAATTTAAATGTTAATCTCATCCAAAAAATGCCACCACAGAAACATCTAGAATGATATTTGACCAATATCTGAGCAATGTGGCTCAGCCAAGTTGATATACAACATTAACCACCACAAATCCTTTTTTATGAACTTGGCACCCATAATTATCTTCCAAAACCATACTTAATCCCTGAATACAGAAAGTAACAAAGTCATAAGCAAGGTCACATTTCTGCTTAATGTAATAAAATTATCCTGTATACAACCTAAAATGTACTAACCACTTTCCCAGAAGAGGATGTAAAGTCTGGGTGATATTTACCTTTCATTTTGATATCCAAGAACTTAAAAATGTAAAGTTAATATATAAATATTATGATTCAAAGTCAATAATACATCTTATGTTTGGTAAAGTGATGAGAAGAAAAATAAAACTTTGTTGTACACACACATATTCAAAACAAAATAAGAAAGAAATAATCATGACAATTACAGTTCCTGTTTCCATAACTGGTTACCCGGTTGCAGCAGGCCTTTATAACTACCATCATTGTCCGTTATTTCCTTTCCCCTCAGCTAGTCATGATTCTTTATGTGGCACAGTGACCTCAACCTTCATTCTTGGTATATATGGTAGCTCTGGTAGCTTTTCAATGTAAGGAACTCAAATCCATATTCATAATGTCTATTTCAGTAAGAAAATGATGCTGCTTCTCTATAATGAGAGTAGTCCATGTATTTGTCACTAGGGAATGGTGCCATCTTAGGGATTCAATTTTGATCTCTGCTGCTTCAGACTAAGCACTCAGAAGCAGTGGCTGTAGCCAGGTGGGCCTTACTGAATGGAATTCCATACTATTAGCCTAGCATAACTTTTATCACTGCCATCATGGTCAATTTGTTCATGAGACAAGTGGATAATGGAAGTAGGTGGCTGGGGAAGAGGCTGGCTGGTATCTACACTATAGGTCATCCTCTTGATTATTAAATCCTTTTCTGCTGAGGTCACAATTTGTGTTCATTCACATAAGACACAAATATCTTTGTATTTTTCACCTACTCAGAGATCTATACCTCTCCCTCAGGCTATCTTGTCACATTTTCCAATCATGCTCTTTCCAAGTCCCTGACTACCTAGCCAAAGCACTGGGCACAGTGCCTGAATCTGGATGTAATCTTTTATCTGGCCATTTCTCCTTCAAAGAAAAACCACCATCCAGTACACTGCTTGAAGTACTGGCCATAGGAAGGATTTTCCTTTACCACTATTCTTCAGGGATATCCCAGAAAGGGATTATAATGCTGTAACTCTCTACTTTGAGAAGGTACCTGCCTATCAAGTAAAACCAGCCAAAAATGGGCCAAAGTCTTCTCTTCCCCTGTTAACTGATTATAAAAAATCATGAGGCCATGGGTATAAGCTAGGAAAGAGAAAGTAATGTTGCAAGAGTGGGGACCATGGGTATTCTGGGAAATTCTTCATGTAACTTCCTCCTACCTTCAATTCCTACTCAGATCTGATCACATATGTACCACTTCTGTTTAATGGTAGAATGCTGCTGTGCAGGCCTAACTATGGGGATGAGTCAGAAAACACCCAGTTCATAATGGGCAATGCAGATTGCATAATAACTTGGTCCATGGGTAATTAAGGTTCAGCAGCAGGCCAAAGCTATTTCTCAAAAGGAAAGTAGTTACCTAGAGGATGAAAGGGCTTTGCTCCAAAATCCTAAGGATCTGTGCTATGATTGCTCTATGAGTATCTATTAAAGACTCCAAATAGCATTCCTATCTGTCACTGATGGATCACACAGCCCGGGTGGCAGAGCAGCTTGCACAGCAGACTGGATCTGTTGCAAAGCTTTCACTTGTTCTGGGCCCTATTCAAAACTTGCAGCTTTTCTGTTATATGCACTTGTATGAATGCTTTGCTTTAACTTTGAACAGATAACAGTGTATCTATTCCAAAGGAGGTACTTATACACCCAATACACAAATACAGAAACAGGAATACAAAGGTTATAAAACTGCCTAAGTTCCTAAAACCAGAGAATTGACAGGTTGTTTGATGTGATCTCTTTCATACCAACCCTTGATATTGGCAGTTTTGTATGGTAATGGATCGTGTACTTAAAAATTGCAAATATTTCAACTGTAGAACTAAAATATTTCATATTTCAACTAAATTTATAACTTCCTTTTTAAAAATTTTTTTAAAGAGACAATTCATGAATACAGAAACACGAGAGAGAGAGAGAGAGAGAGAGAGAGAGAGGGAATTTTAATATTTATTATTTTTTAGTTTTCGGCAGACACAACATCTTTGTTTGTATGTGGTCCTGAGGATTGAACCTGGGCCGCATGCATGCCAGGCGAGCATGCTACCGCTTGAGCCACATCCCCAGCCCCTAAATTTATAACTTTTTAAAAAATCAGCTTATGATGGTTGTGGGAGACCAACCTTGCACGTGACTGGGTCATATTCCCCGGCTGGGTGCTGAGGCGCTCAGTCACAGAAATGTGGCAGAGCTTTCCCTACCCTTCTTGGGTTCGAGGGTCGGTATCTCGTGCATGGGTGTGTCTTGCTACAGCCCCATGGGTGAAGCTACGCTCACTTGTTCCTTTATAATATAACCCCTTGCCCTGTTTAGGATAGAATCTTCCATGGAAGTGTTTTGTGTGTGTCCCCTTCTCTTACTGTGCCCTTGGATTTGGCCTACCCAGGTGTCAGTCAACCTGTTGACAGTGGACATCATGAAGACAG